TCTATGTGGGCTACTGTCCATTCAGCTACAGATTCAACCACACCAACAGACTATTCTCCCTGCTGACTCCAGACCCCGATCTCCTGAACCACACAATGTGTGGTCCCTACAATAGAAAGGGTTTATTGTGTGGACAGCGCATCGACGGGTACGGCCCTGGGGTAACTTTGAATGATAAATGTGTCGATTGCTCTAAGTTCTCCACTGGATCTGCAATCTTCCTGTATCTACTGGTAGAGTTTGTCCCTGTGAGCATATTCTTCTTGTTTGTGACAATCTTCCGTCTTAACCTCACTGCTGGACCAATGATGGGATACTTGCTTTTCAGTCAAGGGCTCTCCTTTTTTGTAAAGATCTTTCAACCAACATATTATGTGTCTGTGGCAGAGTCAGTATTCCAGGGAATCTTTGAGTTTTGGTCTCTAAATTTGCTCACACCTCTCATCCCCCCATTTTGTATCAGTGATAAACTTACAGAGTTGCACATAACGTTGCTTGACTCAGTAAGTGCCATTTGCCTAGTTTTTCTTGTCATCATTTACATCACTGCCATCGAGGGGGTGTAAAGCTATTAGTCTTTTCACAAAGCCATTTAGTGCCCTCTGCAAGAGGTTAAACTGCAGCAGAGAAGTCACTAGTAATTCAGTGATACACACCTTTTCCACATTCTTGTTTCTGTCATCAACAAAAACATTTAAGACCTTTTATGGTTTGTGTCAGTCCACATCTGTGTTCTCCAATACTGATGGATTGACTAAACAAGTTGTTTCTGCTGACAGTAGCGTCCAATACTTCAGTCTTACACATATTTTTTTGTTGTTGTAGCATTCGTCCAGTGTCTAGTTTTGGTGTTTTTCCCACTGTTGCTACTCGTCATCTACCCAACTAGAATTTACAGATATCTTTCACGTTTCATTAGTACGAGAAAACAGCTGGCCATTACTGCATTTGTTGAAGCCCTGAACGGCTCCTTCAAGGACGGTTTGAACGGCACTATAGACTATAGGCCACTGGCTGGGGTCGTAATGTTTGGATTTCCTTTGTTGACTGTTTTGTGGCATATCATGACAAATACCACCTCAGTTATTGGTACTAACAGACCCACATCGTTCTTCCTCCTAGCATTATCATTATTTGTATCGTATAGTAGACCGTTTAAAGCAAACATGTCACTTAGCTTCTATTTTATATTGTTTTGGGCATTTCAATGGACACTCTACATCTGGATTAATGATCTGAACACCTCCACCGCGACACTGAGGCTGATGTTTACTCTCATTCTGCTAACATCCCAACTCCCTGTGTCGGCCTGGGCTCTTTACCACCTCGCTCGCTACATTTTGAAGAAGATTTCAGAAAGAGACAGAATGCCATAGCTACCATTAAATATTGAGAATGTGCGTGACCGAACATCCTTGTGGGATTTCGTATTGCATAAGGAATGTGTGTATGCATGTGCATATGGGCACCAGACCACAAACAAGTTGTTTGCAATTTCAGCAGCTGCACCCACCTTCAGTATGTGTGTGAATATCTCACAGAAGCCCATAGATAGCTACCATGCACAGCATGTTTAATTTGAGAGGCTGTCCTTGACTAAACAACGGTAGTTTATAGAGTGATAACATGTTAGTGAATGGAGGGACAACACATGGTGTACAGAGTGTTTTGGTGTCTCTGGTCTTAAAATGGTAACTGCTTTTTTTGTGAGTCTACTGTTAACTGTCTACAGTAGCTACAAGGCTGAAGGGAAGGGAGGTATATAAAAGTTTTGCGACTAATGTGAGCGAAGGTAGCTATAGCACCAACTTGTTAACCCTCGGCGCGCATGCGCAGCGAGGGTTACGGTAGTTGTCCCGTAAGTGTGTCTGTCTGTCTGTCTGTCTGTTACCACGTTTTCTGCCACCGCGCGCACGAAATCAGGTAAATAGCGATATGATCGGGTTCAGTGCTACACTGGGTTGAATTAAAAAAAGGCGATTTTCGTAAAACTACTGTGTTTTAAAGTTATGGCGTGAAAACCAAGTGAACAAGCCAATTGTAAATTAGCACAGGCTTACCCCGACCGCGTCCGTTCGCTCTGTGTGTCTTGAAGGCACAACAAGTCACAACGAAGGGCATGTATCGACTCCCGCGTGCTATTTACTACTGTAGCTAGCCCGTGTCAGACTCTCCGCGAGCTACTAGCGGGATCGGATACCATCAGTAAAGGCATAAAAAACCCAGCCCCTCAATTAGTGGTACCGCACATGCGCAGTTCGCCGAGGGTTTGCACTTTAGTGCTTTTCATTTGTCTCAGTATTTAACACAGCAGGAATCATGGGATGTGATTTGCGGTGTCACCAAACACTAAACTATGATACAACTACATCTTAAGAGACACCAAAACGCTCTACACACCATGTGTTGTCCCTCCATTCACTAACATGTTATCACTCTATGCAAACCCTCGGCGCACTGTGACGCGCACGCGTAAGTAAACGCATGCGCAGTACCATCTAATTGAGGTTGGGTTAGTTTTAGCTGTGTACTCGTGTCTCTTGCCAGCTCGCGCAGAGTCTGACGCGGGGCTATACTACACTACTAAATAGCATCGAGAGGCGATACACGCCCTGCTTGCATCTTCTGGTGCGTCTCCGAGGTACGCAGACACGCGGAGAGTTTCGAGAAAACCGCACGTAATTTCTGACCTCATTTGCCCGTTCAGTAGGTGGTATTTCCTTTGTGAGACGAGAATGAGATTGAGAGTAACGGGATCCAGACAGACAGACCCAAGTCCTGGTAACCCTCGCTGCGCATGCGCGCCCGATGTGTTAACTACCGTGCTCTTTAGTTATCAAGGACAGCTTTCTCAAATTTTACACGCAGCGCATGGTATCTATGCTTCTGTGAGATATTCACTTTGTCAAACACATACTGAAGGTGGATCAGCTGAAAATTGCACAAGTTGTGTGTGGCCTGCCTTGCATCATGCAATACACACAGTTCCTTGATGCAAACAAGTCAAAAGATACACAATACGAAACTGTCACGCACAGTCTCCATATTAATGGTAGCTATGGCAATCTGCTCTTTCTGAAATCTTCTCGCAACTGTAGCGAGCGAGGTGGTAAAGAGCTCCCAGGTCTGACCAACAGGGAGTTGGGATGTTAGCAGAATGAGAGTAAAGCATCGAGGCCGCTCGAGTGTCGCGCGTGAGCATGTGTTTGCAGAGGTTCATAAACCTGGGATTGTAGAGTGTCCATTCTTGGAAGGTAAAAAATGCCCAGAACCAATATTATAATAGGAAGCTGAGTGAAACATGGTTTTGCAATCGTGACTAACGACGTCTATACGTTACGAGTTACCCAAATTTGTGATGCTAGGGAGAAGAACGATGTGCTCTGAGTTCTGTAAAATGGTGTGCGTTTACGAGGTCCCAACAAAGGAGATTTCCAGACAGTAGGGCGACCCAGCTGTGGCCCGAGTGTCTGTAGTGCGGTTACCAAACCATTTTCCTGTGAGAAGCCGTTCAGGCTTTCAACAGAATGCAGTAATTCCAGCTGTTTCTCGTACTCAATGAAACGTGAAAGATATCTGTTAAATTCATAGTCTGGGTAGATGACGAGTAGCAAGATTGGGAAAATCACCAAAACTAGACAATGAATTAAAAAAGATGTGAATGATAAGACTGAGTATGGATGCTAGTGTCATCATAAAGAACTTGTTTAGTAAATCCATCAGTATTGGAGTACGCAGATGTGGACTGATACAAAGCATAAAAGGTCTTAAAGGTTTTTGTTGACGACAGAAACAAGAATGTGGAAAAGGTGTGTATCACTGAATTACTAGAGACTTCTCTGCTGCAGTCTAACCTCTTGCAGAGGGCACTAAATGGCTTTGTGAAAAGACTAATAGCTTTACATCCCCTCGAGTGTAGGTAAACGGCAGTAATGTAAATGATGACAAGAAAAACTAGACAAATGGTACTTACTGAGTGAAGCAACGTTATGTGCGACTCTGTAAGTTTATCACTGATACAAAATGGGGGGATGAGAGGTGTGAGCAAATTTAGAGACCAAAACTCAAAGATTCCCTGGAATACTGACTCTGCCACAGACACATAATCTGTTAGTTGATATATCTTTATAAATAAGGAGAGCCCTTGACAGAAAAGCAAATATCCCATCATTGGTCCAGCAGTGAGGTTAAGACAGAAGATTGTCACCAACAAGAAGAATATGCTCACAGGGACAAACTCTACCAGTAGATACAGGCAGATTGCAGATCCAGTGGAGAACTTTGAGCAATCGACACATTTATCATTCACAGTTACCCCAGGGCCGTACCCGTCGATGCACTGTCCACACAATAAACCCTTTCTATTGTAGGGACCACACATTGTGTGGTTCAGGAGATCGGGGTCTGGAGTCAGCAGGGAGAATAGTCTGTTGGTGTGGTTGAATCTGTAGCTGAATGGACAGTAGCCAACATAGAATAGACCTTCATGCCCGGAGTAGGTAATGCAGAAATCATCCATTAACTGAACCTCCATTGACTCCTGGTTACAGGTGATCCAGCTATACTGAGCCCCACACTCGCACCTCTGAGTGACATTGCTGTAGTAGAACCAGGTCGGACAGCTGTGGTTGTTGCTGGTACTAACGGGTTGTGAAGTAACAGCCAGACACATCAGCACAGCAATCCAAACCAACTGTGCCATGGTAGCCTTTCTGTGCATTCTGATTTGCTCACTGACAGGGACTGATTTTACCTCCACTAGGGAAGTCAAGTGTTTGTTATCCCAACTTTCAATATCCACCCCTTGGTATTGCAGCCAACCTAAGTACATATAAGAGTCTATACATTGGTATAATAGATGTAGTTATCAAATCTCACATGAGCTGATTATAGTGTACACTGTTTGGTGGTAGAACAGCTGGTTGGATGTTTCCTGGATGATAAGGTTTTGGATAGTGGGGCAAGAGTAACCTTTGACCTTCTATATAGCACCAGGATGGATGCAGGCATGGCACAGGTAGGGGCAGTGCAGAAGCATTGGAGAGCCACTTTGGAAAGAGTATAGAGGTTTATTTCAGACACCTACTTCACAGATGTCAACCTCAGAGGAAGGCAAGCCTCTACATAGCATAGAATCTTATTTGTACACGCTAAGTATTTCATTTCCTAGACTGTACTCTGTAAGGCTCCCCCTACCAAGTGTCCGCTGGTACAATGCCGGCCAACAGTGGATCAGTTTTCAAGCTGCTCAGCAAGCCCTCAGCTCCACTGCTGAAGTTGCTACCAAAAATGTGTCACTTGGACCAACGTGAGAGACATACCCAAAGCTTTCCACCTCCATACTGAGTTCACTTGTGTCATACCTGCAAACATCCAGCTTTTTACTTCAATTCAAGCCCATCCCACAAGAAAAATCATCTTTTTTGTGTGATACATTATGAAGGGGCCAGCAGCGTTTTCTGTGTGTAGCTAGCAGTTGAGACTGTGTTACTGTAGTACCCACTGGTTTAGTGTGTGTCAGTTGAGACTCGGTGTGTGTTACTGTCTGTCTAGTTGGAGTACCCATTGGTTCAGTGTGGAA